CGGGAACACAAAAGAGTGCCCCACAAAGAGTTGGAGTCCTGACTAGGTCTGCTCATGTGCCTAGGTCTGCTCATGTGGGCCACCAGCGTTAGCACTCACCGAAGGTGCTTCACAGCACCCATTCACTCAGATTTGCACAGCCCGCCGAGACCCAGTGTCCCATTCCGCCCAGAAGCTGGGCGCAATTCCTGTGGCGCCTGGACTCCCGGTCACGAAGGACGCATCCTTCCTCCAGTTGCCAGTCAATGCCAAGGTCATTGAGGTTCGAGGGAAGCCCATGCAGTCCAAAGCAGACATCTGGCCCATACCTGCTGCGGACAAAGCCGTGTGGGTCCGCATAGCAGATCCCAACGCCCAAGAGATCACCCTCAGAAACGACAGCAAAGCAGCCATCCACTGGCTCGCCCAGCGCTTTGCCTACGAATTTGCTACGCCCATGGCCAGGCCCCCTCTGCTGACCTGCCTTTCAGCTGCCGGCGCTGTGGCAGATGGCTCCCAAGTCGGCATCGGGGGTTGGCTCTGTACCTCCCACCAGACCTTCTGGTTTGCACAGCAGTGGTCCATCCAAGAGCTCAGGACCTTCTAGCCTTACCTTACGAGGACGCCCAGCAGTATATCGCTTGCTTCGAGACACTCGCACAGTGGGTCCTACTTCAAATGGCCTACCATGCGACAGGTTGGCCTACGCTTCTGCCTTCCCACTCGGAGTGACAATAGCCCCACGCAAGCCTCAGTGAACAAGCTTTTCACGACATCCTTCCCACTGTGCCCGTTCCTGCAGAAAGTTGCCTCCTGGGCACACGCAAAAGGACTCTGCCTTAAAGTCGGACATATCCCCGATAAGTTCGCCCATGCCTCACGTGCCAAACGCTTCCCAGTTCATCTGCAGGAACTACATCGCTCGGAGCACGACGTCAGCCTCTGGCCGCCGCAAGCCAATTGGAGCCCGGGCCTACTGCAAGTGGCCTCACTCCCCGCCTAAAAGTGTCAGCACGGTCAGACCACCCGCGGTGGGGGTAGATGGCTAATTTCATTGGTCTGCCCTGGGCCCCTGAAGTGGGGGTGTGCCCGTCTCAGCCTAGTGGGACCCCGCCTCGGGCTCCCACTTGCCTTGATACGATATCTCGCCCAGAGCAGCACCCGTGAAAAGGAGAGCGAGTTCGGGAAACCCTAGAACCTCCACCCTTTCGGGTCCCTAGGTCTGGGTGTGACTCCTCTCCTCACCCTAAGGTTAGGTCATGCAGTGTGCGTTGACAGAACCGCCTCGAGTTCACAATGCCCTTGGCCAGACAGCCCCTGTTGCCTTGCCTATCTGCCGCAGACGCCATGGCAGATGGAACGACCGTCGGAATCGGCGGCTGCTCGCCACATCTTCCACCACCTGGTGGTTTGCCCAGGAATGGGACATCCAAGAGCTTCGCACTGCATGGCCTTTCCTCACCAAAGACGCCCAAAGGTACATCGCCTGCTTTGAAACTGTGGCACAGTGGGTCCTGCTACAGATGGCCTACGAAGCCACCGGTTGCTCTAGCCTCAGGTTCTGCGTCGCCTCACGCAGCGACAACAGCCCTACTCAAGCCTCCATCAACAAACTGCTCACAACGGCCTTCCCGCTTAGCTTCTTTCTGGAGAAAGTGGTTTTCTGGGCCCACGCACGCGGCCCAGAATTGGAAATCGGCCACATTCCTGGAGCCAAGAACACCGATGCGGATGATCTCAGCCGCAACCGCCTAGAGAAGTTCGCCCGCTCTGGCCATGCTCGAAGATTCGCAGTGCACCTTTCGCACCTGCACAAGTCGGCCCACGAGGTCACCCTAGCCTCTGCCGAAGTGCCCTGGAGCCAAGGCCTCCTGGACGTAGCGTCCCCTGCGCACGCCTAGCAGACCACACGCGGTGGGGGTTGCCTGGCCTTACTTTCACTGGTCTGCCCCGGGCCGCTAAAGTGGGGGTATGCCGCATATCAGGACCGGTGCCTCTCGCCTGAGGGGCCTCCCGGCCTGATTGCCAAACTCGCCCAGAGCAGCACCCGTGAAAAAAGGCCGGCGTATGCAGGGTAGGACGTTGTTGCCCCTAGTCCCCCTCCCGTAGGGTCTTTGGGATCTAGAGGGCTCGCACTACCCGCTTCTCCCCCAACTAGGGTTAGGTCTTGCAGTGGGCATTGTCTGAACGCACTGGGGTTTTTTGTTCCCAGATGTTTTGACACGCACGAATCATGACCACCCATGTCTGCCCATGCCCAGCTGACTCCTGGCTCAGCTGGCCCTGACCTAACCCGTGTTGGGGCCGTGCATAGTGTGTGAGCATTTCTTCGCCCGCCCGCCCTTGCCCTGCTCACTCAACGCCACACTATATGCACTCTCCACAATAGCCGAGTGCAGACAGGCGTGTTCAGACAACGCCCACTGCAAGACCTAACCCTAGTTGGGGGAGAAGCGGGTAGTGCGAGCCCTCTAGATCCCAAAGACCCTACGGGACTAGGGGCAACAACGTCCTACCCTGCATACGCCGGCCTTTTTCACGGGTGCTGCTCTGGGCGAGTTTGGCAATCAGGCCGGGAGGCCCCTCAGGCGAGAGGCACCGGTCCTGATATGCGGCATACCCCCCTCCCTTTTGGAGGGTGTCAAGGCGGCTAAGTTCGGGCTACTCCTCTTTGGGAGGCAGTAGTGCGGCTGTGTGTTGGGCTACTCCACTTTGGGAGGCAAAAGGCTGCCGGCGCAGAAGTCCGGGTTGCTTGCGGGACTTCGGTCCGCGACGCCTACGCTCAGGATGGGCGCGGAGCCCGAGTAGGGTCAGGGATCCAGGGCCTCCACCATTCAAAGGCCTTGTGCCTACTGCGGCCCGATGGCGCGGTGTTGCTGGTTGGCAGTCTCAATTTCACCACAAGCAGCAAGGCCATTTCCGAGACTGGCCTCAGGCTTGAGACTGCGAAGGCACACCCCGCCACGGTTTCCTTCGTTGAGGAGTTTCAGCGTGTTGCGGCTGGGGCTTTGGATCTCAACGAGGCGGCCGCCCGGCGCCCACAGCTCGAGCGCGCAAGCAGCTCCGGCAGCCACGCCGTTGTCACAGCCGCTCAGGAGATTCCAGTCGGAATCGAGTAGGCTGCGGCCGTTCGGCGCAGCGTGGTATCCATTCCACGCATGATTCAGGTGTCGCAGCACGGCGCGGCACGCTGCTTCGCCGCATTTCTTCTTTGCACTTTGCTGTTGCTTGCGGGCGCAACGCCGCGGCAGGATGGAGTCCTGCCTATTTTGCGTTCCCCGCCACACATCTGACGCTCGCGGACCGTGTCCAGGTCGCGGCGTGGCGCTCACCGAAGCGCGTGTGAGTAGCCATGCTGCGGCACAAGCCATGGGCGCGGCTCTCGCTGAGTCCGGTAGCCCGTAGGGTAGTTCGAGATAGGTGAGTAGCCGTAGCCGTAGCTTAGGACCGGTAGTTGTACAGTGTACTATAGCTTTTGCACTTCGCACAAGTAGCACAGAGACCTGCCTATATAAAAATCTGGAGCCTCGCCTGCCAGCACAAAGGTGGGAGCTCTCTGCCGAGGTACCAGACCATGGTCGCACGCGACGCCCTCGCCCTACCCTCCTATTCTTTCTTCGAAGTGCTTGATGCACTTTCTCGGCTGAGGGGCGAATGTGAGCAGATCAATGCATGATAGCATGCTGTGCTCTGTGCCAGTGTAGTCTGTAGCATTTGGCGGGCGCGGGATTCAAGACGCCCTTTATTTCCCTATGACTGTCTACGAAGTGTAGTTTTTCTTGTATTTGCCGTCTGAATCGGGTTCCTTAGAGACTCAAGACAGATTCTGCTCCGACAAAGCCTCGCTGTTGCTTTTCATTGCTTTCATTACTAAAACCTCCCAAATTACCTCTTCTTGAGCTCTTTAATATGGCCGAATATTTAAGACGCCCCTGGGTTCTTCGCTCATTTCTCCGACAGCAGCTTCACACCATTGAAGATGATGATGTGTGATATGTTGCGATGCTGATCATTTAGTATGGTCGAAACACTGGGCCTGGAGCCTCACACTTGCAAGCCTAGTTCAATCCAATGACGCTCCAACCCCTGAAATCCAAACAACTGACCAGCGACACGGCACTTAAGACTTAAGACTTACCAAACACACTTATGCCGGGCGCGGGGCCTACATATTCAGCGGCCTAACCACCTGATCTTATGGTAAACACCCGATTCCGGAAAAAATCGCCTTCTAACACCAGAAACCTCTCTTTTTTAATTTAAAACCAAGGGACGTCTTAAATCCCGCGCCCGGCTAGCATTTCACTTGCACGTTTCAGTTTTGGAATTTGCCAATTTTGGCTCAAGTACGAGATAGTCTTGTAGCCGTTGTGCTCGGTAGTTTCGTTCTGTAGCTTTTAGGTTGCAGAGCGGTCCGACCGGACGCTCGGCCGTAGGGCACCTCAGAGCTGGTGATCCCGCGAAGTCGTAAAACAGCGTGGCCAGCCTGCGTTTGCATTGCTTGTGCAAGACCAGTGACTGGTCGACTTCACAGCCTCCAGGTGACCGTGCACCCTTGCGCAGCGTGCCTCCTGCGTGTTCTGTTTATCAGCCGACTTGCCCTTGTTCCTTGAGCTTTGCTGCGGTTCTGCCACTCTTTCCGGTGTTGTGCAAGAGGCAGGTTTCAGCGTGTTGCCCATCGACTGGGGTCGCAATGTGCACAAGCCTGCAGTTCACCCTTTGCAGCTTGACCTTCGTTCCCGTGCTTCCTGGGGTTTCGTCAAGAATTTAGTCAAGTGCCGCAAGACCTTTTGGGTGCACGTGGCGCCACCCTGTGGCACTGCCAGCAGGAAGTCTCTTGGCTCTAGTGCTCCACAACAGCGTGGGGCGGGGGGGGGGAGCGAACTGAGGATTCACGTCCACTGATGCTTCTGTTTTATCTTTGTGTCATTTTGGCTAAAATGAGTTTTCATTTCGTTTTGCTGCGGTTGCACGGTATTCTCTTCTCACTAGTATTTGTAAGCAACTTGAGCTCCCGAGCCATGGCTTTTCACACATGTGTTTTCATGGGAAGATGGCTTCTGGTATGGTGCCTGGTGATGTTTTGCCTCGCCTGTGGGTCACCGGACGGCGGCCGAAAGGGGCCATCGACTACGCCGACCTCGAATCGATCCAGGACCCCTCGGTCGAGAGATGAGCACGATGGTCAAAGGTGGGTCTTCCATGTGGTGCACGGATTCCTGAGGGAGCATCGAATGGCGGATGGCGCTTGGAGGATTGAATATCCAGAGGACAATGCTACCGCCTCAGCCTCGACGTCTTGTCAACCGACTGGAGCATCGGGCGCTTTGGACGCCGTGGAGGGGGCGACCCACAACCTGCCAGATGGAGTATCGGGTGCTCCAGCCACGGCGGAAGGTGCGACCAACAACACGGAGTTGCCTGCATCATCGCAGGAACAACTTCCGGCACTACGGGCTGTGCAGACTCACTTGTGGGAGGTGATGAGGGAATTGACTGCCCACCTGACGGAAGGAGTCGAACTCAGTGAGGCGGCACAGGCACACTGGAGAGATGCCACCACGCAACTTCAGGGCATGCTTGGGGCCGGCAGCAACCCGGCGGATCTTCAGACTCAACTTGGCGACTGGCTCCTGGGTCAAGCCTTGGATCCTGAAGTGGTGACATATGGATTTACGTGGACGATGAGGTCGGCAACGTGTTCCTCGCCGGTGGGGACGGCCCAATGGGTGCTGGACATGGTCACCGGGGACTTGCCGGCCAAGCCCAGCCGACCTCAACGTGATGCTGGAGGTGCGCTACCATATTCCCTAGCCAGTCATGCCGAGATAGGGTCTACTAACGCCAACCACAGCCTCCGAGCCCGCGATCTGTGGCCAAGCTTGTATAACATAAGTCCCTACACTCCTCCCCACTGTGACGCGTTGTGTCAGGAGATCAGCAGTGAGCAGCTTTTGAGTGATACTGGCGACAGTCAGATTCGGAGAGAAGCTAAAGGTTGGCACCAGGCCACTTGTCATAGAGAATGGTTGAGGCCTAGAGGTTGGGTTCGCAAGCTTCCGGCAAGGGTTAAAAGGCCTCTCCGAGGTAGACGGTCAGGAACCCGCCAGCAGATGTTGCACCGCTTTTTCAGGTTCCTCCCGAGCAAAAGTGCACCAGCGGGCATGCTTGCTTCGGCGCCACGGGCACTGCAGATTGCACTCCTCTTGTTGCTTTGCTTTACAGCGCGTTATGCGGATATGGGCCCAAACAGCACTCCATTGGCGACACGCCATTCCTTCCGTGTGAGTGCCCCCTGGCACCTACCGAACCGATTCGAAGGCTTGGATGTGCAGCGTTGCCAACCCTGCTCAGCCTGATTTCACAGGCATCTTGTGTCTCGACAGGTCTGTCAACTCCCTTCACAGAACACTCCGTCCATGCCGACATGCCTAGAGGAGGGTATCACATGGGGCTATCCAAGACTAATGCCGAAGCTGTTCCAAGATGTCATGTCTTTGTCGGTGTTGCGGGAAATCCTTGCTTGGGCAGGTCCGTATGCTTGCGGCACAGCAGAGAGGATGTCGCTGGGCAATACCTTGACGGAAGACTGTGTCAGGGGCCGAGCAGTCGTGCTGCGCATTCAGTCCAATCACACGCTTCCTTCATAACCAGGCAAGATGGGGTGTGGAAGCACTGGGGCAATTGGCCCGGTTGTGTCGCTGACCTATTCCACTCTTGCTTTTGCTGCTTCATGCCAGCGATCTCATATGCTCAATATGATGCGGTCCGGAACCGAGGCGCCACCTCTGACATGTCTTGCACCGCCTTTTCCACCTGCAAGGCCGGCCCGGGCACGCTTACTTTTACCGACAGCACCAGGCTACTCCTCTTAGTCCATCACTTGGAGCATGTTCTCTTATCTTTGCGACTGCGCCACATGTTTACCATAATGCCATGCTATGGGTCGAGAGACCACTCATTGATCTCTGAGTGCAGTGACACTAGGCGTTCAGCCCAGTGCAGACTGTCCCTGGGGTCTTTCAGGCATTCGAAGATGCGGAGCCGGAAGCACCGGGCTCACCTACCACGCCACCGGTCTACAGGTATCAATGAGTGTGTGCCAACTGGGCCTGATCTCTTCTATCCTGTACGCGATGCAGAGACCCAGGCAGGCCCTGAGGGGCCAGTGTGCCGAACGGCTGCCCGCACAGGCGTGCCAATGGCTATACGAGGATTGCCAGAGAGAAATATGTGTGCAGAGCAACATGTTCTGAGCAACATGCTCTCGGCTGTGCTTACGTTGATAATCTCAGTTGTTCTTCTTGGAGCCTTGGTCAGGTGGTCACCGGAGTTGGCCAGCAGAAACAGACAAGGCGGATGGAATGCTTCAGTGTTTCGCTTGCACTCAATCTTCCCTCAGAAATGGTTTTCTGCCCGGGTAGGAACCACCCAAAGGTCCTCTTTCTTCCTGCACCCTTTCACTCACGGTCGATGGTCATCGCGCCTGACATCAGAGGCCACCCATAGCCACGACAATACTCCCCCCGCACCGCCCTTACTCACTTGTAGCCAACCCGGTCCCAAGTCCGGGCATGTCAGCTCGGCAAACAGGCATTGACAGACCTTGTGTGCGTCTACATGCTGGTCGTTTTCAGGCCTACACACTCTCTGTTGGATGGTCCTTCTGTTTTGCCTCCCAAAAATCTGTACAGGGGCGAGAGCCGACATGGAGATGAGGGTTGCGTCCACAGCCAGGGAGCCGGCAATCTACACATTTCAGAGGCGAGGAAGCGTTCATTCAGACGGGCGGTTCTAAGAGCACAGAGTCAGGGCAGCACTATGTACAAAGGTCGCCTGGTCACAGCACATCAACTTCGAGGATCCCGATGCACTCTGCGTCCGGTCTCCCAGAACCGGAATCGACACATGCCCTTGGAGTGGAACCCTATAGCTCCCCACTGGCAAGTAGGAACCGATCAGCAGGTTCTTAGGGTGTTAACATGGAACACGGGGGGACTAGGGTCCGGGATACTAGAGGAATTTCTTACGTGGATTGAAGATCTGCCGGCCTCTCAGCGTCCGCACATTATCATGCTCCAGGAGACTCATTGGAGTCATGATGGAGAATGGGAAGCCGGCGGATGGATTCACATAAGTTCAGCCAGGCCAGCGACCACAACAGACAGGTATTCAGGTCTTCTCACCCTAATTAAAATACCAGGGATTCGCCAGATACATGTGCACTTCAACCGAGTCCTGCCAGGCAGGATTGACCACATTCGCATAAGCTTTTCGGCCTATGATGTGGACGTCATCAATGTCTATCAGAAGGCACTTTCCTTTCGAGACATTGACGCCCACTATGCCACTCGATCTCATGTCATTGCCAAGTTGGATAAAACCCTAACCTCGATCCCCCAGCGTAACTATGTAATACTGGGTGGCGATTTCAATGTTCAGCTAGGGTCCTGTGAACCGCACGTGGGACCGTGTGGATCAATTCGACAGCCTGACAGGCAAATCGCCAGGGACCATCCTAAATTTCTGCGGTTGCTCCAGGACCATGGGCTTTGTGTTCTGAACTCATGGAGAAGTGCTCAGCACACGTTCACCCATCTTGGCAAGCGCACTCGCATTGATTACATTTGCACGAGATTGATGCATGCCAATGGTCCTTCCAAGTTGGCCAGTCCACACCATGCCTGCACACTGACGGCGTGGAAGGACACGCGTCACTTCCCTGTTCTGGCGTGGATCTCATGCCGCAAAAGTCACATCAAATCTGCAGAGGCTAAGCAGCCCATCTATGATCGGCATGGCATGACGTTAGGTCTTCAGGACCCGAAACAAGTGGAGGCAGCGAACCAAAAGCTGACTTCTATCATAGGCAACCCTTCCGCCAATTATGCTGACATACCGCAGGCCATGCACCAAGTGGCTGCTCATCTTTACCCAAAGACCCGTGGACAATGCCCGGCCCTCAAGACTGCGGGATGGAGGGACTCAGGGATTCAACTTAGCATAAGGACCATGTGGCAGGCCTATAAGACTAGCAAAGGCATCACGACACTTCCTGCCTGGCAGATCACGCGACAGCAAAAGCTACGCTTGCCATGGCAAGCCTTCCTCCTGAGACGTCTCGTCCTGAGATGGAGGGCCAGCGCCTTCTACATGACCTGTCGTAAACAAACACAGGCACATGGACGGAGAATTAAACGTGAAAGATTCATGGGATACCTTAAGCTAATAGATGACGCCGAAAAGGCAGGCAATCCCCATGCCATGTATAAGGTCATCAGATCCCTGGCACCCAAAATGCCGCGCGTGAGACCAGCGATTCGAGGCGAACATGGAGAATTCCTCACCGACGCAGGGGAGGTCAAAGCTGTGAAGGCTCACTTCCAATCTGTGTGGAAGCTCCCGGCAGAATGGGAGCACCCGGAGCTCAGTGAGCAGGTTGTGGCCTCAACCAGCGAAGACGCTTTCAGTTTTCAGGTCCCTACTCTAACCGAGATCATCTCTAAAATTGATTCCATCCGCACCCACAAGGCTTTGCCAGATGACATGCCGCCAGCAGGCATATGGAAGATGGTTGCACCGACCCTAGGTTGCGTGGCCTATGCGGCAACATGCGACTACTGGAATCACATTCAGTCCAAGGCTTTCCCCGCTCAGTGGTCCTACACCCAGGTCGTCCTTCTACCTAAACCGGGCAAGATGCACGGTCAACCAAGCTCACTGCGCCCGATTGGACTGCAGGATCCAATTGCAAAATCCTATGTCTCTATCCTTGCCAGCAAGCTTCAGCCCTACGCTAAGCGCTATCTTCGAGATATTCCGCAATTTGCTTACCTGAGTCACCGGGATGCTATAGGAGCCCAATACAGAGCCCTGAGGCACTGCAGATTGGCTCGAGAACACACTCAACTACAAGTGACGAATGTCCACCACAGGCGCGAGCATGGACAGACGCGCAAATTTGCAGCAGCTCTTCAGATCTCCATTGATTTAACACAAGCTTTTGACTGCGCCCCATGGCAGTTACTGCGTGAATCGTTGCACCGAACAGTTTAAACAAGCGCGCATACATGTCAGGCCTGAGAGAGGAGTGCGCCAGGGATGTGCCTTGTCCCCAGTAGTTTGGAGTATCTTCACTGGCCTTCTTCTAAATGAGTACCACGCCAGCATCCAACATGATGTAGTCGCTCCAGAAATCACGGCATTTGCAGATGACATGCACAGTGGATGGCTACTTGATAAACCGGAAGAGCTGCCTATAGCACTCTCTCAAGTGCAATCCATGCTTTCCTTGCTTGAGAGATTCGGTCTTAAGGCAAACCCGGGCAAGAGCAAGGCCATTCTTCGCGTACAAGGTGCGGAGGCGACGCGGCTGCGCAGCAGTTGGTGCTACAAAGTCAAAAATGATTCATACCTACGCTTGCCCTCTAAAGGTGAGAGAATCGGCATTCCCCTAACTTCGAAAATTGCATACATGGGTATTGTCCTCAGTTATGACTCGTTTGAAAAGCAAACGATAACTAAGAGGATAGGGGTTGCCCAGGGTAGTTATGAAAGACTGAGACGGATACTGAACAATCGCACCACTTTGAATCTGCAGCAGCGTATCCGAATCTGGCGTGTGACAGTTCTACCTGCGCTATTCTATGGCACAATCCACATCATGTTGACCAGGGAGCTGGCTGAAAGAATACATGGATTGTGCATGCGACACTTGCGAGCCATCAGCAACAGCCCACTGCATATCACAGGGGAATCAAATGAGAACCTGCTGCTCCGGCTGGGGGTGCAATACCCCATTGCCATGCTACACACACAGCACCTCAAGCGTGCACAGAAGCTACACATTCTTGCCCAATCCTCTCAGCATGATCCCATGATGTGCTCGAGTCCAATGCTTGCCTGGATGGAAGAATGCAACGTTCGAGTGGGCACATATGCGGCACTCTACGAGGCTGCCTCCACGACGCATCCGGACCAGGTTCCGGCCACAGCGGCGCAGTCGTTCGTGTGCGATGTATGCTCTAGAGCATTTGCCACAGAGTCATCCTTGCGACAGCATATCAGCAAAACACACTTGCCGAAGCCTAAATCTGAGCTCCCTAAGGTTGCGGATCCCGAAGCCGAGGTGAGGAAATATGGCACAGATGGCATGCCGACCTGCAGGTTTTGTCATGAAAAATTCAGCAAATCGCACGCATTGCAGAGACATATCACACTACAGCGATGCACCCAAATGCCGCAGAGTGTCTCACCGACAGTGTCCGATTTGGGGAGCATGCCTACAGCCAGTTGCGATAGCCAATGTCTCCAGCATGATGCCGAATTCCTACAGGCGTTCAAAAAATCAGGCAGTAGCATTTTGCACAAATTCCCTTCACAGATTGAGAGAGCGAAGCATCACTGCTGCCTTTGCAATCAGTGGTTGATACGAGACGCTGACTTCAAGTCTCACTACAAAAGATCCCACCAATCAATTTGGGAAAAATATGGCGTCAGAGCGACTCGCCTAGTGGGAAGCTTGCCCATGGGATCTCAATGCACACTATGCGGATCAAAGACAGGCGCTAAGACAAGGCATAGTTGCCCAGTCTTACTACAGCTGCATTTGGCCACCTTGCTGCATGGCGAGCGAAGAGAGCATGACGATACCACCCCCATCTCCGGAGGAGCTGGCGGCGTACGGACGCCTGATTGCTCCAGTGGGCAAGATGGAAACGGAGGCACTGCCCACCCTGGGCAAGCGAGCGCCGGAGGTGGAGAGCGAGCCGACTGTGGAGAGCAAGCAGCCCAAACTTTCGGCTCTACCGAAGACACCCGCAATCCCAGCCATGTTCTCGCCATCCCCTCGTCCTGGAGTACCACCTCTACAGGAAGGCCAGAGCTCGCAACTCACGGAGCCAGCGACAAGCCACAACCACCAGCCAACGCCCCGCCCGAAGGCGGGACAAGGCAACCGGCAGTTTGCTGGAAAGCATCGAGCAGGAAAGAAGGCCAACAACAATCAGAACAAGGCGGCGCCAGACGACCTGTCGGACATGATGGCAAAGCTGGTGCTCAGGCACGAGGACGCGCACGCGGTGGAAAGGTACGACAAGGGCTACTGTCTTTTCCTACGCAACTCCACGGGGGCGGACAGCATCACAGCCCCGCTGTACAGGGCCTCCCAGACATGGTGTTAAGTGTACAGCATGTATCCAGGTACAGTGAATGGGTGCAGTAGGAAAGACACCAAATGCCCTAAGGCATGTTGAGTCTGAGCAGAACGAGTTTGACGCCGGAGGCTTAGGCTCAAGAGTCGAAAGCGAGAAAAGTTGTTTTGCCTTTAGAGCGTGGTAGGAAAATACCACGTTTTTCAACATGGTAGTGGAGCACCTGAGTCAGGGTGCGATGATGCTACAGCAAGCTGGATGGACGAAGATTTTTCCATGGAGCATGATGGTTTTCATGTCTGTGCGAGAAGTGTGTGCCAGCAACCTCCAGAACCTTCAGCATATGGCAGAGCAGACAGTTGCAGCAAGCAGTGGTGCCCTGGACGCTTTGAGTTCAGGAAGATGGCAGCAGGAATTGTTCCTGTTTGCAGTGCTGGTTTTCATGAGCAGCATTTTAGCAGGAATGGCGTGGTCGTTCTTGCGAGAGATTGCAACTGAAGAGCGAGAGATCGAGACTGTCGCCCATGAAGAGTTCATGCCTGATGTTTACATTGCAAAGTCAAGAACAGCAGTGCACAAGCATCGAGAATGCCGTGGCCTGGACAGTGCGGATCAGGCGCAAGTCGTACGTGCACCTGGATGTAGAGTTTGCTTTCCAGATGGCTATGTTTACATTCAAGGGCAGACAGAAGTAAAGAGAAGGAGGTTTACCCAGATGACTGGATGTGGTTTCTGGATGAGAGTCCTTTGCAGTGCAGTTCTTCTACTTTGTGCAGGGCTCGTTACAGCAGAAGGTTGGTTGTTGATGATCAAGAATGTGAAAGCAAAGGCAGCAAGAAGCAGTACAGAGATATTGCTAGATGAAGCAGAGCTCGTTATGTCAAAGCCGCTGCCCAGGAATTCGATTTCCCTCCAGGATGACCTGAAGACTATTGCCTTGGAGGATGAGCATGCCGAGGTGCAGCATGCGACTCATGCACTTGGTGGAAGCAGCAAGAATGTGCATGTGAGAAGAGAGAGAGAAGAGACAGAACATGTGGAGTTCATGTCCTTCAGTTTGCAGCGTCGTCAAACCAAAGAAGCCCCAATACGCTATGAAGATCAAGACAACGAAGAAAACTACAACCTCGAGATTGTGAAGTACATGATCGCAGGATTTGAAGCATCAAGAAACTTCGACATCACGAATTTGAAGATTGAGGTGAAAAGATGGTATGAAGGTACAAGAAGATTCCTTCGAAGCCTTGAGTCGAGCTACGCCCCTGAGATCTCAGTCATGTTTCACAAGCAGAAGGAAATCATTTTCGTGTTGATGATCGTGATGTGCACCCCGATTGGTTTGGTTACTTGGATCAGCCTGTACAACATGTGTGCCATCCAAAGCAAAAGAAAAGAGTGTTTGAAGAGAAGAGTTTCAAGGAGAGCCAGGTATCAAGAAGTTCATGCATGTGGTGTTCAGAAGAAGACGCTCATGTTCATTGTGTTGCTGTATACAAACACGCAAGCAGCTGAAGCCATGAATGCTCAGATGGAGCAAGCAATGCAATCTTTGGCCCAGCAGACAGCAACGAACACCCAACAGATAAACGACCTGGTTAGCGCAGTTCAGCAGCAAGCATCTCAGCAGCAGCAAGCAAGCACAGCAGCTCAAAGTGCAGCAGCAGCCAGTGAAGGCGAGATGAGAGAAATGTTTCGCAACATGCTACAAGTGGCTACAAGAACGAGCACAGCGGTCCACGAGGCAGCAAGCATGATCAACAATATGGGTCAAATGCATCGAGATTTTCGTGAGCATCAAGAAGCACGAGAACAAGCACAAGCAGAAAGAGAAAAGAGAAGAGAGAAGGGAGATGTCGAGTTGCACAAGATGATCAAGACCCCCGACGTGTTCAACCCAAGCAGTTTCAAAGAAGAGCATGAAGGCTGGAGTGAATTCAGACACAAGATGCGAACCTGGATTGGAGCGTTGGACCCAGAGATGTTAGCAAGAATTGAAGCCGTTGAAGCAAAGAGAAGTGAAGCTGTTGAGTTTTCCACCTTGAGTGACGAGCACAAAGCCGTTAGCAAGAAGCTCTACACGATCCTCACTTCGTACACGAAAGGTCGCCCATTGAGAACGATCAAGCAGATTACAGAGGAGAATGGTTTAGAAGCATGGAGAATTTTGCTCGAAGAACACGAACCCTACACTCGTGGTAGAAGTCTTCGTTTGCTGACTACCCTCACGAAGTACAAGTTTGAAAACAAGAAGACCACCATGGAGAACATCCTTGCATTCGAAGAAGCAATCGAGCAGTATGAAAAGGCATCAGGAGATGTGGTGCAAGATGATTTGAAGATTTCAATTATCCTCAATCAGCAAGATGGTCAGCTTCGACAACACATGTTGCTCAATTTGAGAGATGATACAAAGTATTCAAGTCTTCGTCAGTTTCTCCTGTCCTGTTCTGAAACTTTCGGTTAGGTTGGTCTGGTGTTTCAGTGTAACATGCCAGGCAGTGTGATCACGTTGAGGACGATCGTCTCCTCGTGGCCATTTTGGCTAAAGGAGGGACGCTCGTCCGGGATTTTTTCTGCTGGGCCTGGGAGAGTGTTAAGGCGTGCTCTAAAGCCCTTGCCATGTCGAAGTTCCCGCCTACCTGGCAGCAGTTTCAGGCGCCACGGGCGCTCGCTCCTGTTCAGGAGGAGGATGGGAATGCATGGGGCCACTACACTCCAGGCGAGGCGGAAGCTCCCGGATACCAGCAAGCTGAACAGCCTGCTCGGCCGCAGCAGCATGCTCGCCACTGGACTGGTGATCGCGGCTACGGCGATCGCCCTCACCCTCAGCGCCAAGACTATGGTCAGTGGTGGGGCCATCAGCAGCGTGGATCAAGCTCCCGCGCGGTCGCAGCCGTCCACAATTCGTTCGTCAGAAAGAAAGCGGACTTCTTGGACGAGGCGATCGCCCACCACGAGGACCCTGCCTACAACTCGTTCGTCTTCCCTGACAACAGAGATGAGCGGGTGGTCTCCCCATTCCAGAACTGGCTCGTGGAGGAGATCATGACGAACGCTGCTTCCAGCATCAACGTGCTCACGGAGAGGGACCAGGTTCTCCCACCAAGTTCGGGCTTCCAGTTGAGCCTCTTCGCTAACTACACGCTCGACGGGGTGAAGGCGATCCTGGTGCTCACCGTGGGTTCGACAACAGGCTGCCCCAGTGCTCACTGGGACTCCAAGACGGCGAAGGCTCTCAGTCACGAGGCTTTTCAGCCGTTCACCTGGCCACTGATGAAGGCTGGGGCAGCCACCTATGTCGACGTGAAGTTCTTCAACGGCAACGAGGTCCTGTTCCACTGGATCTTCCGCGGCTACCGCTCCGACTCCGACCTCACCGTGCAGCAGCAGTTCTGTGACGACGCCTTGATCAAGGACGCTCGCATCGGCAGGTTCAGGCCTTCGATCGTGGTGTCTGTCTTCAGAGGCTGGAACGTCACAGTCTTCTCGTTTGAGGTCGGTGGCAGAAGTTACGCGGTCGCACCACAAGGAGCAGTCGTTGCTGGTGATCACTGCCGCGCCAACTGCGAGCTCCGAGTTTGCAACCGGGCCTCGACCGATGCCTACGGCAATGACGCCGATCGGGTTGAATTCCGCTTTCGGGACTCCGACAACAAGGTGGATCTGAAATGTGGCCGGATCTCCGTTCCGGGAACCTGGTTGGCTGTCAGCCATATCTCTGGACGGGCTCTCATCAATACGATCGGGGCATGCCGCAGTCAGAAGGCGAGGATCGAAGGCCCTGACCAAGTTCAGCAGTTCGCTCAGCTGGCGGCGATCTTTGAGCCGTGGTGGCGAAGCTCGATCGCGCGCGAGGTCAATGAGGTCGGCGTCCAGGCCTTGAACTTCGTGCTCGAGAACGAGGGCGACTTCCACCTGAGGGCTCGCTCCAAGCTGTGGGTGTTGCCGCCGGAGTACGTCAACCAGGCCGCGCTCGCCCACAGGTCCCACCAGGAAGGCATTGGCCTGGATGCGCAGATGCTCTCTGGGCCGCCAGCGATCGCCAACGAGGCTGCCAAAGTTGCCGTGGCTGAGATTGAGGTTCGGGAGAAGAACATGATGCTCCAAGATCAGCCCGGGTCCTCATCTCGCTCGGCAGAAGAGCAGTTCGCTCGAAGGGCCTCCGATCTGCCTGCGGGGTCCCGGAACAGCGAGGAACAGGGCAACCCACGAGATTCGTTCCGGCTGGACATGAATGTCTCGAGAACTTCGGCGGCTATCACCCCCGGCGTCTTCGCCCAGGTTCTGTCGCAGCAAGAGGCCGAGTTCTTCGAGTCCACCGTTCGTGTGGTGCCCGTGCCCGACCAGCTCGAGCTCTCCCAGGATCAGGACGTGCCAGCTCAGCCGGTCGGTCAGCCAACCTCGTTTGGTCCCCCTGCAGGAAGTTTGGACGGCTCGGCTTGAACAGTTTTCCGAGCAGTTCTGAAGAACAAGCGGTTCTGAAGAACCCATATAGCGATCGGGACTTTGCAGCTCGGGCGCGGCGGTCGTTTTTAAGGCCGGCTCGCTGCGCCATTGCTGTTCTGGGCGATCGCCCAGCACTCAAAGCTGGACCTTTTCGAGTGTGAGAAAAACAGTGGACCGCTCTCGCTCGCGAAGGGCATGAGTGTTCACTCAAGATCTCAATCTTGTTCAATACATACAAACATGTTGAGCAGCTAGACATAAGCAACTGCTCTGTGCTTGTTGTTTTGTTTGCTGTTCTCATGTGCGCTCGCATGGGCGTTCTAACCTCTTCCCCGTCTCGTTCGTGGGTCTGGGGTTGCTGCGTCCGGGTGCGTGTGTTTGTTTGCTCGAGTGGAAAGGGGAAAGGGTGTCCTCGCCTGTCCCCGTTCGATTCGTGTTCTTTCGTTGTCCGCGTTCGTCCTTGTCTCGGTCCATGATCCGGCCGCCAGAAGCTCCTTCAGGCTCAGCTGCTCGCGATCGAGGGTCGATGTCGAGGGCTGATCTCTGGATTGAAAAGATTTTAATTTTCCCTAGCTTCGATGAGGCTTTCCGAGAGGCGATCAGAGAATCGCCTCTCTCGAATCTTCCATTCGTGATGGCAATCGAGGCTGGCTCGCAAGGTGAATTTGCTGCCAAGGCTCTGATCCTGCTCGCTTCTTTGACAACGGTTTCGGATGCCTTGGCAGTTCGCACGCACATGCTTGAGCAGTTTTGGTTGTTCGCCAAAGCAGCTGAGAGCGTGTTCGCTTCATCTGTGGGTTTTCAACTGGGGTTCGGATTGGCAGAGTGCTCCAGAGTGGCTCCTCAGCCCAAGTTCGACGAGCTCAGGCGAGCGGCAGCTCTCAGGTCGCTTGCTCAGCCTCCTAAACTCCCCAGGTCCTTCCCAGCCTTAACGAGCTCTGCAAAATCGGCAACAAATGCTCCACTCTTTGACGCCGAGATGGCGGAAAAGCAAAAGTGGGCCCACAGGCTACAAGCAATTGCCGATCGAGCTGGTTCCTGGGCAGACGCCTCAATCAATATGGAGGCACCAGATGTTCTTTCGGCTGGCGAGAAGGCCCGTCTTAAGCACCTGGTGTTCACCTCGGGTGCTCCGTCAACCATGGCGGGGCACATCAGGAGGTTCGAAAAGTTTGAGGATTGGGCGGCTGAGGTCGCGATGCCCTTCTACCCAATCACCGATGATAAGATTTTGAAGTATGCAATTGAGCTTGACCGCAAAGAATGTGGTCCTACAGTTCTGCCTTCACTTCGAACTTCACTTCGCTGGGTGGCTTTTCGCATCGACATTGAGCTGCCGGAAGTGGAGGGCGCTCGCCTCCTGGCGCTCGAAAAGCAAATCTTTGATCGGCGAGGCAAGCCTCTCAAAGAGGCGCCATCCTATCACGCAGAGGTCGTGGCTGCTATGGAGGTCTTCGTTGTTCAAGAGACGCAGCCCCTGGCGGCGCGGCTTTTTGTGTGGTGGGTCGTGTGCATGATCATGGCCTCCCTGCGGTTCGACGATGCCATCCATGTCAAGCCGGAGGAACTCGAGTTTCGCGAGGAGGGCATTTTCGGCGTCTCTTGGCAGACCAAGACCGAGAGGAAAAGGCGGGGTACCAAGTTCTTGGTCCCGAACGTTTCCTTCTCGGGCTCGGATTGGCTCAACGTCGGCTGGAACCTGTTCGAACAACATCTCCTGGTCTGTCCAGACCGTGATTACTGGCTGCCAGAGCTCAGAGATGCAAATTCGTTCACTGAGCATGCGCCAACCTTCCAGCGCTCGCTCCAGTGGCTGCATCACTTGGTCTGGCACGCTAGCAAGCACCACGGTGTGGAGGCTCCAATCCTGGCGAGCATCACGCAGCTCACATGGCACTCAGCCAGAGTCACGCTGCTCAGCATGGCAGTCCAGAAAGGAGCCGAGGCCGAGAAGATCGGACTTCAGGCAAACTGGAAGAATCCAGGACCACTGGTGCTCAAATACACCAGGTCTCGCTCTGCTGTCTCGGCCGGCATGGTCCAGGACATCGTGGCCGACTTCAGGCGCTCGTTCGTGCCAGGCTGCGTTCGGCAGGATGACTTGGCTGATGATGGCCTGGATGCTCACCCTTCAGTGAACGCATTTTTCATGAAGTCACCTAAGAAGGGTTCGGCCTACGAATATAAGATTCATGTTTGCTCGACCGACGATGTTGATGTCATCGCATGCGGTCGCGCCAAGCGCGAAGACTGTACACATATCGGTGATCTGCTCCCCGACGCATCGCTGTTCTGTAAGCATTGTGCCAGGGAGAGACCTGATGTCGCTCGCGCACATAACGTTTTCTCCCCATGATCAAAAGCAAACGGTTCGTTCACTGCCTAAGCTTCTTTCAATCTGTCAGGTTTTGGCTCCAGTGCGGCTCTTTCTGCTCTCCGACAATGGTGGATCGAACAACGTACCCCGATGGCAAGGTCCCGGAGCTCGCCGTTCGCCAGATCTTTGGTCGGCAGCACCTCCCCGAAAACCTCTGCTTGCTCATGGCGAACAAGAACCTCTCCTCGATTGAGCAGTTGGCCATGCTGGGCGACTCGATCGCGTCCGTGAAGACCACGCTGAAGACGATCGTCGGAGACGATACCCAGTTTGGTGCCGATGCGGCCGCCCAGGAGCTCTCGCTCACACAGCTCTCGGCTGTTTGGAAGGCTGCCTCGACACTACAAGAACATGTCTCCGCTCGACGGGCTCGCATGGAGGAGGAGCCCAACAAAGTCCCAGAGATCCCGGGTGAGCACCACGCCGAGTTCCGCGAGCTCTTTGTGGAGGCTCACCCCGACATGCTCCTTACGTACCACAACGAGCCGCGTCGCAAGTTCGTGGAGCGCGTTCATCGCGACTACATGGTTCACGGCGCGGTTGCCTTTTACGAGGTTGCAGAGATGCGAGTTCGGCACGAGACCATTGTCCAGACCGCCAGTCTCGCCAAGACCTCTGAAGACTTGCTTCGGGTCGTTCAAGTTGACAACAAAGGCTCCGTCGGCTCCGAGAACCAGGTCATGGACCGGCTCCACGCCTTCTTCATGGCTCTCGAGTACCTTAACATCTGCGAGTTCTCCTACAAAGCGGGACCGCTCAAGTACCTCGCGGAGCTGCAAGAATGGCGGCATGAGAACCGGGGTGTCTCCGTGCTCTTAGCAGCGGATTCTCTCATTCGCAAGAAGGTCTACAAGCTCAACAATGACCGCAGGAAGAGCTTCCCTTCCTTCTCAGCCGCGCTCTTGGAGGTGCTCGCAAACCACAAGCAGCTCTGGAACGACGCCCGGTCTGCTGCTGAGCTGGATAAGTTCCGCCAGGCTGACCTCGACGGCCCCCTGACCCCTAAGAAGCGCGCTCGCTCAGCGAGCCCGCCAACCCCTCCTACCACCAAGAGCTCCCGCACCCGCCGTAATAAAGCCAAACGGGATCGGCAGAGAGAGCTCCTCAAGCAAGCAAAGGCGTCCGCCAAAGACAAGGACAGAGAGACCGGCGAGGCAGATAAGGACCGCGATCGCGCTCCGCGTGGTGCCCAGCTCCGGCTCGAGCCGAACAAGGACTCTCGCGTGCCAGAACAAGAGTGGAAGAAGATCTTATCTTTCACCTATTCTGGTAAGAAGCGAAGCCCGTTTTTCAATTGCTCGCTCGGATGTCGCTTCGGGGACGCCTGCCGTGACCTGCACTCTGGCGTGCAGTGTGGCCAGGCCCACCCCTTCCACGGCAACCATTGAGTGCGGCTCAGCCCTCCGGGCGTCTGGTCGTGGTCGGACCCGGCGGAGGTGCTTGGGCCGCGTGGGGCTGCAGGGGCGGCTGTTGAAGCTGCTATGTCGCAGCTGAATGCCGCTCGCTGCGGCTCCCAACCACCGTGGCGGAAATGGTCGGAAGTGCCCCGAGACGCTGCTTTTGTGGCGTCTCAAGGTCCCTTCTTCGTTGAGTTCTTCGCCGGCGAAGCTGGCCTCACGGAGGCCGTGCGAGCCCAGGGGGTGCCGGTCCTGCCCCCGATCGAGAAGGAGATCAAGGGCTACACCTTGGAGTCCGTCGACGTCCTAGACACCGCCTTCTGGGCCTTCATCGTGGAGCTCGTAAAGGTCGGTGCCATCGCGTTCGCGCACTTTGGCACGCCGTGCTCCTCTTTCAGCGCGGCCAGGTCAATTGGCGGCCAAGGGCCCCGCCCACTGCGTTCAATGGGCTCTCCGTTGGGACTCTCGGGCCTCTCTGCTGCAGAAGAGCGGCAGTTGAGCCTCGGCAACCAGCTGCTGTTCCTCACGCTCGAACTTTTGGAAAGCATCGTTCGAATGGGCGGCGAGGTCAGCCTTGAGAACCCTGCGACAAGCTTCATGTGGGAGGTCCCGCAAGTGAAGCGCGTGCGGTCGCACTACAGGCTCTCCTTCATATACTTGGACCAGTGCTGCTTCGGCTCGCCCTACAAGAAACCAACTGCACTCCTCGTGTCACACGCGGCGTGTTTGGTCTGGGCACGCTCGTGTGAGGGAGGCCATGTTCATGCTCCTCTTCGCGGATTGACTCGGGTGAACGGACGCTGGATCTGGACAACCAAGCTGGCGCAGGTCTATCCTCGGCAACTGTGCATTGCCATCGCAAGCACTGTGGCCACGCTCATGAAGGGCGGTCTCCCGCAGTTCGGCCCCACTTTCCAGCTCACGTCTCCGGCTCATGATCGGAAGCGTGCGCTCGGATCCTCTGCGCGCTGGACTCAACATCGACAACAACAAGCTGCCCAGCTCGCCATGGCGGCCGGCTACCAAATGAAGCGTGGCGCCGTCAAGCCCTTGCTCGACCTGGAAGTGGAACCGGGAGAGGCCGTTCGCTGGGCGCTTAACGTGCCTCACCCTTTCACAGTGGCTCCGCCCCTCTCCAAGCGGATCTTGGACAACATATCCATGGTGGCGGCGCGAGGTCAAGCTCTTGTGGATGCTCGGCGCGCTGATCTGGCTTTTTGGCAGCGTCGCGCGGAGCAGCTGCTGCCCTACACGGACCATGTTCTGCAGAGTCTCTCCGACCCGTGGCTACGCCGCCTCCTGAGAGGAGCTCAAGATGGGCAGCCCTGCAAGCTCGGAACGACATGCCATGTGGCGCTCTACCACGAGCTCCTCGAGGCCGCCGGTTCCGTGGACAAGGAGTTGCCCGGTCTGCTCCTACATGGTTTTCCGATCGTGGGCCCCATCAAACGCTCTGGACGCTGGCCGCCCTACGCCAAGAAGCAGAAGGTCATTCCCGTGGAGCACGCTCTTTCCAGGGCCTGGGAAATCAGAAGTCGGATCGTTAAAAGGGTTAATGCGGTTCCTGTTTCTGACGACCTTAGGTCTGTTTGGAATGCAACTCTCGAGGATGTCCGAGACGGCTCGTGCCTTGGCCCCTTCCCCGATGAGGCGTCCATCTCCAAGTTCTTGGAAGTAGAGGACTGGATCCCGACTCAGCGGTTCGCGGTTGTGCAGAAGAACAAGGTCCGCGGTTGTGACAGTGCCACCACGAACCTCGTCAACCAGATCACTGGAGGCGCTGGTCAGCTCTTCCCGATCAGCGAATGATCAATTTCTCCTGGGCATTTGTTCCTCGACCGCTCGCCCCCATGCCAGAGCGATGAAAAAGTTCAGTCAGTGCTCTGCGTGATCAAGCGAGTCTTCGAGCGCTCGCTGCTTGCATGTTGTTCTGAAACTTTCGGTTAGGTTGGTCTGGTGTTTCAGTGTAACATGCCAGGCAGTGTGATCACGTTGAGGACGATCGTCTCCTCGTGGCCATTTTGGCTAAAGGAGGGACGCTCGTCCGGGATTTTTTCTGCCCACCCTCCACAACCCTTTTTCAGTGAGATGGCTGCCGGCAACGTGACAGTCATGGAAGCTCTCGCCTTCGGAGATCGGCAGACGCTGCTCAGACCATGCGTGGACTGCGGCCTCCTTGCGGGCTGCTTCTGTGACGGGCTCGAAGCGCCGTGCTTCGCCGCTCGGCGTGTGCCCAGTGAACAGTGGGCTTGGAATCAGGCAACGCCACTGTGCACTCAATGCGATCGTGTGCAAGAGGCATGCCACTTCTGCTGTGGTCAAGCATGGTGCACGCCTCCAGCACACGACGGTCGCAGGCAGTCGTCAGCCACTGAAGCCGTGTTCACAGCAGAGGTCCCGGAACTCTTTGTGAACGCTTCGGAGGCTGCCAAAGCGGATTCAATAGACCGCTCCCAAGGGTCAAACAAGGAGCAAGCTCCCTTCGCAACTGAGTCTGTACATGTCGACCTTCGTTCGGGAGATGTGCTCGCATCTTCGCAAAAGAAAGTGTGAGCTTTACCAGCTGTTCATGTTTCTCAGTTGTACTTCACGCGAAGTGAAGCCAAAGAAGATCGAGTGTTCAAGGACGCGAAGTCTTTCCTCGATCATTCAAGTTTTGTACGACTGAGAGTCATGTTCTCTGACCTCATGCAAAGGGGTCGTGAGTCAGTTGGTTTTGGGGTCGTGCAGACTAGCAGCTGCCTGCTGCGGGGAACGCGGCGGGAGGCGCTGGTCAGCTCTTCCCGATCAGCGAATGATCAATTTCTCCTGGGCATTTGTTCCTCGACCGCTCGCCCCCATGCCAGAGCGATGAAAAAGTTCAGTCAGTGCTCTGCGTGATCAAGCGAGTCTTCGAGCGCTCGCTGCTTGCATGTTATGAGCAAAACACGCGCTGGACCACAACTGACTTGATCAACGCCGGCAACGACCACGGTGGACAAGCAGACATGGATGTCAGCAACGTGAACAAAGATGATAGAAAAAGGCCCTGGAGATCCAAAGGAAAAGGAAAAGGAAAGTTCAGCAAAGGCAAAGGAAAGGGCAAAGGAAAATGGAGGAAAGGAAAGTCCAAAGGAAAAGGCAAGTATGGCAACGACTACGGCTACAACTCCAAAGGACGAGGAAGAGGAAAAGGTCGTGGTCGAGGTCGCGGTCGTTTTGGTCGTGGAAAAGGATTTGGTCGTGGATTTGGAAAAGGATGCGGAAAAGCAAGCTTTGGTCCTCAGTGTTGTCATTACTGTGGAAAGCCTGGTCACTTTGAAGCCCAATGCAGACAGAAGCAGAGAGATTTTGGTGATGTTCGAAACGTGAACGACGACCAGCAAAGTACCACAGCAGCCAGTTCTGCAGCACCAAGCACGTCAAGCACCACGAACGTGACGAGCGTCAGCAGGAACCAAGCAAAGACCGTGCGTCAAATCTCCATGATCCACATTGGAGATCCTCCACAACAGTATCCAGAAGTTTTCGAAGTCGACACGGAGGCAGAAGAAGAACTTGAGATTGACTATTTTGGTCGTGTGCTACGTGTTGAAGAATTTCAGCTTAGCGATGCAGAGCAAGAAGAAGAAGAAGAACACGAGCACCAAGAAGAAGATGATCCTTTGATGTTGTGGTGGAAAGATGGTTGTGAGCACGAAGAAGATTGCAACCTTTGTGTCCGTGCAGTCCAAGAATCATTTTATGAGAGCAGTCCTGTCTATGAGAAGATAGAAGTGATCTTGGACAGTGGCGCCGATGTCAGCCTCATTCCTCTGTGGCTTGGCAAAGAGGGAGTGCCTGTGAAGAAGAAGAACGATTCAGGCATTAGAGACGCACCAGGAAGAAAGATTCCTGTAAAAGGAAAGAGAGCAATCAACTTGACTATGTTCCAGAAAGTTTCTTCTCAGAGGAAGCAGGACCTCCTCAACTCGCAGAAGAAGACCTCGAGATCTTTGACGATGCCGCAGCAGGAAAAGAAGTTTCCAGATTGACAAAGATGGGTGTCATAGAAGAGGTGCCCATGGAGCAAGAAGAGAGCAAAGAAGTTGTTTGGTTGACAACAAAGCTGGTTTTCGACTGGAGATTTCGGGAGTCAGAAAACGTCATCTGCGAGAACGAGATCCCTGAAGGGCAACAAGAAGTTCCTCATGAAGCCCTGAAGCCACGAAGATGCTGGCAGAGAAGAGCAAGGCTGGTAGCAAGAGAGTATAACAACTCGAAGCGAGAAGACGTTTTCAGCCCAGCTACCTCTCCGTCGTTGACGAAGCTGATTCCAATTTTGGCATTGGCAAATCGATGGAGTATTTGGTCGCTTGACATCAAAGATGCATTTTTGCAGGTTCCCCAGAAGAGACCTGTACACTGCAAGATTCCACGAGGAAAAGGAAGTCAAGCAGTACACGGAATGGAAGCCAAATGCTGGCGTCTTGGTCGTGTTCTTCCTGGACAAAGAGATGCTAGTCTTCTGTGGAGCGAATTTTGCGCAGAACTTTTGCAGCAAGAAGGCTATGAGAAAAGCGTCGCAAATCCAGCGTTGTTTCGCTTGATCAAGAACGGCAAGGTCGTATCCGTTTGCATTGTACATGTCGATGACCTTCAAGTAGCAGGAAAGGCAGCAGTGGTGAAGCCCGTCCTCGAAGCTTTAGCGAAGAAGGTGAAGCTACAAGTAGAAGGACCTTTTCTGACAGAAGAAGATTATCGCAATGGATTTTCCAAGCAGTCTGTGCGTTTTCTCAAGAGAAGGTATAGCTATGAAGACGGAAAGTTGTTTGTCCGCCCTGACACCAAGTATGTCACCAAGCTCCTTGAAAAGCTACGCCTTGGATCGAGAAGAGAGAAAGCTACCCCTGCAGCAGGAAATGTGCAGAACACCGATGAGACAAAGGAGCTGGACGAGAACAAGAAGAATGTGTACCGAAGTTGTGTCGGTATACTGCTATATCTTGCCCAAGATCGTCCTGACATCCAGTATGCAGTCCGAAATTTGGCAACTGGAATGAAGGCTCCTACGCAGAAGAAGCAGAAAGAGCTTGAGCATTGCGCGTTGTATCTGAAGAAGACTGCAGGCTATGCGGTTTGCTACACAGCAGGGAGACCTGGAACGGCAACCTTGCAAAGAAGCAAGAATTTGGAGCAAGATTCCGAGAATGAGAACGAGAAGAGCATCGAGAGTGGCAGTCACCTGGTCGAAGTATTTTCTGACGCCGACTGGGCCGGCAACAAGAGCAGCCGGAAATCTGTATCAGGAGGAGTCATCTTCCTGGACGGCCAGTATGCGTTTTCTTACTCCAGAACGCAGAAAACTGTGGCACTTTCCAGTGGCGAGTCCGAGTACTACGCACTCACTGGTGCTGTCGCAGAAGGAATTGGCATTCGAGAAGCCGTAGAGTTCCTTTCTGGCAAAGCAGCGCGAATGAAGGCGTACACAGACAGCAGTGCAGCGCGTGGCATTGTGCACCGGCAAGGTGTTGGTCGTATCAAGCACTTGGCAACGAGAATGCTCTGGTTGCAAGAAGTTACCAGAAACGGCCTATGCAGCGTGAAAGCAGTGAGCACTGTTTTCAACCCTGCCGACTTAGGGACCAAGCCCCTCAACGCATCGAGAATGAAGCTACTTTTGAACATCCTTCAAGTTCATGATGATCGAGAAGCTATCGGTCGTGAAGAACGAATGGCCGCAGAGAGCACAGCTACAGTCAGAAGATTGACAAAGGTATCCGGAAGCAGACTTGGTTTGACGTTATTGTCAGCTTTTGGTTTTGCAGTTGAATCTGCAGGTCAGCAAGAAGGAGATTTTGTAGCACGAAGATATTTTTGCATGCAGTTGATGAGTTTTGTGTTTGGTCCATTTTCTACAGCTCAAGAGCCACCTCAAGAACTTCAAGAAGGTGAACAAGAAGTTTTACATGGTCACAGCAGCAACAGCAGCATGAAGTTTTCACATGTTTTCACGAGCATGCCTGAGCTTGAGATGTTGATGCCCGTGTGCATGGCTGTGATTGTTGTCCTGGTGACGATCATTGTCTACTTGGCAGTGAACCAGAAGAAAGAGAAGAAGGGTGAGAAAGAAGAGAAGCCCAAAGAAGAGAAGCCTGAAGGTGAAGTCACAAAGAAGAAAGAAGAAGAAGACAAAGAGAAGAGCTCGCAAGGTGTCCTCGAAGACGACGAGACCGTGAAGAAGAAGTTCGACGAGCTGATCGCGAAAATGGAGAAGCAAGAACGTGCCTTGGAGAAAGAAAAGTTGAAGAGAGAAGAAGCAGAAGAAAAGGCTAAGGAAGCAGAAGAAGATCGTGACCAAGCATTTGCTTTGAAGGCGAAGGTGGTTGCGAAGTACAGTGAAGCCGAAGCAGAGAGGAAAGCTCTGGAGAAAGAGAAAGAAGATCTAGAGAAGCAGAAAGAAGTTTACAAGCAAGACGCCAAAGAGGTGAGAGAGCAGTTGAAGAAGGACTACGACATGATCACGAAGCACATGAAGAAAGAAGCAGAGGAGAGAAAGAGAGAAGCAGAAGAACTAGAAGCAGCAGAACAAAGAAGAGAGGAGGAAGACAAGATCAATGCAGAGATCAGGAAAGCCAACGAGGAGAAGATTGAAGCAGCAGAACGACAAAAGAGGAAAGAGGAGACAGACAAGAAAGCCGAAGCAATGAGACAAAAGGAGCAGGCAAAGAAGGCCCAGGAGGAGAAAGATGCCCAGGAGAAGGCAGCACAGGAAAGGAAAGCACAGGAGGAGAAGGAAGCGCAGGAAAGGAAAGCACAAGAGGAGAAGAAGAAGGCAAAGGAGAAGAAGGCACAAGAGGAGAAGGAAGCACAAGAAAGGAAGGCCCAAGAAGAGAAGGAAGCACAAGAGAGGAAAGCGCAGGAGGAGAAGGAAGCACAGGAAAGGAAAGCACAAGAGGAGAAGGAAGCACAGGAGAAGGAAGATGAAAGGAACGAGGCAATCGCGAAGGAGAAGGCGAAGAAGCAAAGAGCAAAGTTAGAGGCCTATGAGGAGATGAGAAGAAAGGAGCAGGAAGCCCAAGAAGCGACGAAGGAAGAGAAGGAGAAGGCAAAGAAGGAGTTGAAGGAAGCACAGGAGCGAAAGACCCAGGCGGAAATTCAGGCAGAGAAGGAACGAGAAGGAATGAAGGAGATTGAAGTCGTTGAAGTTGAAGATTCAGGATCTGAAGATGAAAAGCCCACACTAGGAGCAGAAGGAAAGAAGGATGCAGAAGGCAATGTGTGGCAGATCCACAAAGGAGCATTGTGGGTCAGGATCAAAGGCCAGTGGTATGATCCAAACTGGTGGACAAAGAAAGGATACAAGCCACCGCCCGACTTTGCAGAGTCGAGCGAAGAAGGAAAAGAAGAAGGAGGAGCAGCAGGAACAGAAGAAAGAAGAGAGCAAGAAGAAGAGCAGCCCCGAGAACCACCGCAGAGAGGAGAGAAAGGTAGCAAGAACACAAAGGGCAGATGGAATGTGGTCACGTTCACAGATTGTGGTTGGATCTGGGAGTATTGCAAAGACACGAATGAGTATCGAGCAGTTCGGCTCG